TAATATATGCTTCTTTATTAAAACCTATAAACTCCATGAAGGCAGGAACCACCATGACTGTCTTAGACATTATAATTTCTCCAAACCCTACCACAAGCCTGGTGTGTAACTGCCACATATCTGGCCCACTGCTCTCTTGGAGTTGTCACTCAGGCGTGTGTGGCAGAAAGAGGAATAAGATAGATAAGAAACAAGCAAAAATACAAGAAAATACAGAGAACTGGTGATCAGAGAAATCCTCACTGAGAAGGGAGTATTTGAGTCAACTCCCGAATGACAAGGAGTCACCTATGTGAAGATGGGGTGAACTGACAGAGCATCCCAGGGAGAGGGAACTGCACATGCAAAGACCCTAGAGTGGGAACACGTTTGGGAGGTCCAAGAAACAGAGAACTAAACTGTAAAGAAAGAAGGGAGGATGATAAATTATTTAGGGTCATGCTATGGTATATGATCTTTGTTTAAATTGCGGTGAGAAGGCACCATAGGATATTAGTGTGTGTAGTAGACAGAATAATGGCCTTCCAAGCATGTCCATGTCCTAATCCCCAAAATTTGTAAGTATATTATATTACATGGCAAAGAGAAATTAAGGCACAGATGGAACGAAGGTTGCTAATCATCTGATTTTAAAATAGGGAGATTATCTTGGATTATCCAGATGGGCCTGATGTAATCCTTAAATGTGGAAGAGAGTCCGTAAATGTGAGAGGGAGGCAGAAGAGTCAGTGTCAGACTTACTGTGAAAAGAACTCAAGCTGCCCTTGTTAGTTTTGAAAATGGAGGAAGGGAGCCAAGAGCCAAGGAATGCAGGTCGCCTCTAGAAGTTCCAAAAAAGGAATGCACCCTGTTAAAACCACTAAGTTAGTGGTAATTTGTTACAACAGCAAGGGAAAACTAATACAATGTGTTAGGGTGTGTCTGCATTTTAATAGATCATTTTGAATGACTAGGCTGACTTCATAGGAAAAACTGCTTTGACAATCGGGAAGTTTTGAGGTGAGGTCTGTCTCAGACTTCACCATCTGAATGCGGGGGCTCAGGGCTAAATTTGAACATTGGAACTGCAGTTGCAGAAGTTTAGCTCCCCAAAGATACTTAAAGCCTTTATTTTAACTTCTATTTCAATAGACAAAGCAAGTTTAACTAGAGACAAGATAAAAGAAATGAGTACAGTAATTCAGTAATGTCTCAGACTCTGGAAGAAGAGAAGAAAAGATGGCACCATGGCCTGCAGCCTAGGCCCACCAGTAGTTAAGGGTGCGCCCGCTTTCACTCACTGTTACAGCCACAGCATTCAACCCAGTACCAACTGCAGAGTGAGCATTCAACAAATATTCCACCCCTGAATGAATGGATGAATGAATGAACTATAAATTGTCAGCCTATTCTATACAGTGTTCTCTTAATTCTTCCCAAAGACTTTTTTACATTCTTCCCAAAGACTGTTTACATTCTTCATACGCATACAAATCACCAACTGAAATTTTAATTTCTGGGTAGCTCATAACAAAATTAGTAAACTGTATTAATTTGAACTAAATATAATGCAGAAAACAACCCAAAACTGGTTTTGAATAAACTGCACAGCACTTAGGTTTATCAACAAACTTCCTAGAATATAAACCAAATGAGGGTAGGAATTTTACCTTTTCTATTTTCATTGTTCACTGATGCATCCTCCAGGACTTAGAAAAGTGCCTGGCATGTAACAGAAGATTAATAAACATTTATTGAGTAAATAAAAGAAATTTTTATAAGACAAGAATACATAGGATATAAGAATATATAGCAGGTACTAAGTGTGTAGATATTTTAGATATATAAAAGAATCAGACACTTGCAAATTTAAAGCAGTTACACCATCTAGGGTATAAATGAGGTTTTGTGTGTGTGTGTTTTCTTTAATCACCATTATGTGAATTAACTAAGACTTTATACTTTCTATGTCATTAATATTATTACTCATAGTTGGTTTTCATATTTTGATGTGGCTGACCAAGATTAGCACTATTCAAATGGTTGATTTTCATATTTTTGACCTAACAATTTTAAAAAGATTACACAGCTCAAAGAAAAACCACTTGGCATATGTCTAGGAAGTTCATTTCTGCATCTTAAACTGAAATAAATGTGGAATATACGGAGCATTTCCATGTGTTCAGCTATTAAGATAACAATGTGTATTAGAACTGGTTAAGTTCTTATTCCCACTTAGGTGTGTTATGTTTGCTGGCTATAAAACTAGAAACTAAGTACAGACATCTTTTTCTAAGCCTCAGTATTTGACTAAAAAACTAGCCAATCTTAAACATATTTCCAAAAAAGACAGACAATCTTAAACTCTTTTAAAACAAAAATCAGAGTATCGGCAATTTGACAACCTAAAGATACTTACAGTTTTTCACTGAATCTCTAGCTATGTTTAAGAAACCCGATCAAGATAATGTGAGAAAGAAAATGGGAGCTGAAGAACAAAGAATATTTCCATTTTCTCTCCAGCCTAATCTGGTCTCCTATGAATTTTCTTATTTTGTTTTCTGACCCACTAAATAAAGCTTACTGTGAAAAAGAAGGTACATTTTATTGTAGCTTTAATACGTCTCAAGAAAAGCTGTGAGGAAATGAGCTGCTTTATGGATTCATAGCTCTTTTATGGAATGGAAGTTCTCCAGTGCTAGAACTAGAAAAGCCAAGACCTTAGAATATCCAAAACTCCAAAATGTACAGATTCTGAATAGCAGTGTTTTGGTTTGGAATGTATCCTTTTTATTAACTAAGCCAAATAAAAACCATGAAAGTATAACTTCATATACAAAGCCTTATTAATATTACATATTTATCCTTTAACAGACTTCATACAACATGTACTATTTGCATAGTACTTTTCTTCCACAAAGCTCAGAGCATTCAAACTTCATAACTTTGCACTGAAAATATCATAAAATTTTAGCTATAGGGTGTCCCTATTATCTGAAACCTGTGGTTACACACAATATTCCTCATAATGTGCACTATTAAAGAATAGGCTAACCACTCGTAAACTCAGTCTGTACTCCCTAGTGAAGGATCACCTGTGAATTGTCATTTTTCAACTGTGAATTGTATCTTCACCTGTGAATTGTCAGTTCATCAACTAAGTAAACACCCAACACAGTAATGCAAACATTTCAAAACAACTGAAAATTTTTCACAGAACAAAAGACTGTTTCATGAAGTCAATAAAATGGAGAAATGTGAGGATCTCATATAAAAACCATAAATGAGGATATGGTTTCTCAGTTGATTGACACTTAGACCAATCAGCTGAAAAAGCAAACTTCCACAAGGATAATAAAATTTAAAGAATTGCAAGATAAAATGTTTATTAGTAAAGTATTAATAGAAGCCTCAAAAAATAAAGCCCTTATATATTTCTTGGGAAAAACTACCCTCTTTTATGATGACGTATGTTGTCAAAGTCAAAGATGCCATGCATATCATGTTCTTCACAATCCGGTCAGGAAAACTAGGACCGCTTCCCACCTGCCAAATCAAACTGAGTCACACTTTGTGTCTTCTAAGAATTCATGCCAAATTAAAATTATATTTTTATGTAAGATAAAGTAAGCTTATCTATATGTTTTTACCTTTTATTTTTAGTCAAATTGTCATTATTTACTATGATTTTCAGTTCCATTTTAAAGGGATTCACTTTAAGGGGCTTTTTTCCCCTGAAAGCAGTTATCCTCAGACATGGTCTCCTGCAGTTATTTTTTAATCTGGGTTCCCATACCTTTCTGTGTCAAGAAAGAGAGATGAAAAGAGTTTAAAAATTAAAACTTTCAGGGAGGCAATTATGGAAAGCAAAAAATAACCTAAGAAAGATGGTGCCATACAGACAAAAAATACCTAACTAAAGAATAGGCTTTGGTTTTCCTATTCATGTACAACTGAAAACAGAGCTGGACAGGGGTGCTGAACTGCATTCCGCAGGAAAATCCTCTAAATGGAGCCAGAAACACCCTGACACGCTAGGAAAAATATCTGCAAATCAGATAACAGATAAAGTATTTGTGTCCAGAATATATAAACTACTCTGAAAACTCAACACTAAGAAAAAAAACAATTAAAATGGGAAAACAACTTACTTGGACACTTTAATAAGGAGATATATGGATGGCAAAAAAGCACATGACAAAATACTCAACATCATTAGCCATGAGAGAAATGCAAAATTAAAAACATAATGCAATAACCCAGCACACCTATTAGAACGTCTATAATAAAAACATACTGGCAATACGAAGCACTGGTTAGGATGCAGAGCAACTGGGACTCTCATACATTGTTGGTGAGAACACAAAATGGTACAGCCATCCTGCGGAAGAGTTTAGCAGTTTCCTACAAAGTTAAAAATATTTATCATCTAATCCAACAATGTTATTCTTAAGTTTTCATTTCTCTAGGGCAAATTTTCATGTCACACAAAAACCTGTATATGAATGTTTATAGCCATTTTACTCATAGTTGCCAAAACCTGGGAAAAATAAATATCCTTCAACAGGTGAATAAGCAAACTGGTACATCTATACACTAAACTACCACTCAGCAATAAAAAGCGATAGGCTATTGATACATGTAACATCTTGGATGAATACCTGGACGTTATACTGAGCAACAGAAGCCAGTCACAAACATTTATAATGTGTGATTCAAATTATATGACATTCTTGAAAACTGTGTGTATAAAATATTTTATTTATATATTAAAGTTGGATTTAATGCCCTTCAAAATGTCAGGTAAAATATTTAATGGTGGGAAAATTAAAATCAGTTTTCAATGTTTTTAACATTATGGTATTTAAATGATTACATTTGTTGAAAGATTCCAAGGAAATTTTAAATTACGTTTTTTAAAATTTCAGGGGTTTGAAAATATTCAGAATTTAAAAATCTATAACATATTTAACTGTATAATTTTCTTTTCTATCTTCCCAATTAAAAAAACACTTACACAGCAGACAAGTACTTGACAGAAGGAATGAATCTGAAAAAGACACCTGCGCTGAATCTTTGATGGATAAGGCCTGTATTAAAACAGGTAATGGTATCCATGATACCCAAAGTATTTAAAGTATAACAACAACAACAAAAAAAAACAGCATTATACCTGGCAAGCGCTTTCAGTAAATGAATAAAAATAAGAAAGCCCTGGGCATTTCCAGTTGTTATGCTATGAAACGTGTCTTGGTTGGTATAATGTAAAATACCAAGTCACCTGCTTAAAACAAGGACTTAATTTTAATAAGCATACAAATAAATGTGGGCATTTTGTTAAAATATTAATTCTCATAGAGTAGGTCTGGGTGAAGCCCAAAATTCTGAATTTCTACAAGCTCTCAAGTGATGTATATGCTACTGGCCTGGAGATTACACTTTGAGAAACCAGGCTCTGACGGTCACTGAGAAAAGTGGTATGATTTTTGCCCAGTTCAGTAAAAAAGAAATGTACATAGTAAGTACCAGAAGATAGCCATGTAATATACTCCCTAAAACTGGTACCAAAAACCCATGACACAGTAACAAAGCAATCGCCTCCAGTCAAGATTCTCAGCTGAGCTGGTGGCCTGCAAAGTACAATTTCAATGTGCAAAAGAAATTGTGTAAGAAATTGTGTAAGAAATTATGGAAATATAAAGCACAAATAACACATAGGTGACTGGCTATGAAGAGACAAAAGTGGTTAATATTTGTAAGTTTTCACTCTGCCCCTTTTCACTGACCCCTAAAGATGACTCTAAGCTTGGCCTACTAATTTTCTTACCTTTCCCTCTGATAATGGGCCAGTTCTGCTGAACTAAATCTTTGAGACTTTGGAATATAAAATCTGGAAGAAAGGAAGACAGAGGACAAGAGAGGCATGTGGCATTAATGGATTTTAAATGAAGTTTTTCTTCTGGATAGCCCAGGGAAGGAAATACATGAGAGCAACTCTAGCATCTGAGGAAAGTGGAAAGGAGAGAAAAAGAATTTTTAAAGCAGTATTGCATAGTGACAAGCCTGTAGCAGTTACTAACATTTCCCCCCCCCCACCAAACAGGTCTACTAACTGTCACAGAGCCTATAAAATATATGGTCCCAACTCTGACTCAAAATACTGTCACTCCAACTCTTCAATTGTTCTCACCTATGAAGTCACAATTTCAATGGAATGATTCTCGTAAAGGGTGGGCACTTGAATAAACAATTTAAAGTGATTCTTTTGGCATTAATGGTTTAAAGATATGGGATTCTCAATAGGAAAAAAATGGCATTTCCCCTCTAAGTTTGTTTTACCTTGAATTTGAAGAAAAGTATAGAGTTAATGGTATTCAACAAGTTGAAATTAAAAGTTGATGGTTACTAGCAACATAACAGAATGAGATCCCCAGCCCTCATTCCCCCAAAGAAACATTAACTTGGCAACCATCCATGAACAAAAGTGCTACTCCAAGAGCTTCAAAATCCAGGTAGGAAGTTGTATCACCCAGTGGAGCCCAAGACTGAGGAAAAACACTTTGACAAGGCACACCCACACCCTGGTAACAGGCCCTGTGGACATGGCTCTAGCCCCCAGACCTGTGGACTTGGCAGGAACCACACCGTGTATGACCCCAATAACAGGCCCACTGTCTGCAGACCCAAGTATGGACCTGGGAAGACACACACTGATCTGCATCCCAAGTAATAAGCCTACCAACTGTGGACCCAGAAGTAGCCCCAATCACCTGGGGCCATGGCACAAGCTGCACCTGCTGGTGTCCCCAGTAACAGGCCAGCCAACCAAGGATCTGACTGTGAAACTGGAAATCGCCTCAAGGCCTGGCCCTGGCCCTGCTCAATTGTAGTCGTGGAGGACAGCCTGTCTATATGGGTACCTGGCAGGAGTAGGTCTTTACCTGCCAAAAATAATCTGTAAAGAACGGAAGAGGTTCCTGCTCCTTCAAATGCACAGACACCAATGCAAGACTCTAAGGATCACAAAAATCCAGGCAAATATAACATTACCAAAGGAAATTAATAAAGTCCTAGTAACTGACCCTAAAGAAATAGAGATCCATGAACTACTTGACAAAGAATTCCAAAAACTCATGTAAAGCAGCTCAGTCAGTTAAAAGAGAACACAGGTAGACAACTTAAAAAACACACACCAGGAAAACAATACATAAACAAAAGAAATAGAAACCATAAAAAATAAAAGAAAAAGGGAAACCTGGAGCTGAAGGATACTAACTGAATGACTGCACTGAAAAAATCAATTAACTTCAACAGTGGAATCAGTCAAGCAGAAGAATAGAAATCTTTTATTCCTCCTTGGAGTTCTAGCACCAAGAAATGCCCCGATGATGATTTATAAATAAATAAAGGAAATAAATAAGTTAACATAAGCACAGTGCCAAATGAGTGGTATATGCGTGCACTAAGTACTATATTGGGATTTACAGACACCAGCAGTTACTTGTTTCAAGGATGAGAATATGTACTTTAATATCTACCTGATACCCATCAATAATGAGACATTAGATTGTGACAGTAATGACACTTCTTTTCTCTTAGCCTAGTGGCATATACATTATGGAAGCATAAGTTCTCATAAAACTTCTCAACACAGTTCCACAGTTCCCTGGATAACCACCAATAAACCAGAATTGGCACAGAAATGGAACTTTCTTGCCATGAAGGCACCATTTTAATAAGAGAAGGCATAATATAGGCAGAATCTACTCATTGATTGCAGGGTCAATATTAGCCATAACATGTATGTAGGATAGTAATTGGTACTTACTGTTTTGAAGTTTGGATATTGCTTCCTCTAGAGTTTTTAATATTTTAATTTGTTTAAGTTATGATTGTTTTAAGTATTTCTCTGTTTAGTGAGGATGGTAAAAGATTCTGTTAACAATTTTTGTTAAGGTCCTTTATTAGATTTTAAGATAATTAATGTTGTGATCTTTTATTTTAGGAGGAGAAATAAGAGATGACTCCATAGGGCAGGTAAAACACTTTTTATTACTGTTTCTTATTAGACCTTAAATTCCAAAGGTAAAGCAAACTGTATGTGATTATTTTGAACTCAGGAAAGTCTGACTACTGGTATACATTAAGTGGAAATATCTTTCTAGAAAACTACTCAGCTTTTCAGTATTTCAGAGTTCTGATTACTAAAATATTTATTTCTGAAAAATAAAATTGTGCATATGGAATATTTACAAATGAAATTCATGTCTGAAATTTGCATCAAAATAATCCAGTGTAATGAAAGGAGGGATATAGGTAAATTTAAGTCACCATGAGTTGATAATTGATGAAGGTGGGTGATGAGTAACATAGCAGTTTACATATACCATTCTCTATAATTTGGTATATGTTTGAAATAATCCAGAATTAAAAATTTAAAAATGAAAGATTTACAATAACGACCAAGTTATCCATGTCATTCTTGTCACATTTATGTATAATATTAATAATAAGTGATGCATGTGAGGGCCCTCTCCATATGCTGCTGCTCACATTACATTGGAGTTCATTTTGAGAGACAATATCAGTGCCCTGTTATGCCAATTTCAGAAAGCTTAGATGTAAATCAGAGAAAGCCTCCCCATTTTACTAAAAACCCAGAGTGGATTACAGTAACTGGTTCATTATGAGACTTAAGTTTGAATGATAGTTCCACAATTATGAGCATTATAACTTTGGAAAAATCATTTCACCTCTCTAAGCTTCAAGTTCCTCATCTGCAAAAGAGAGATAATTCCACATACTCCACAGGATTTTTATGAAATTCTATTGTGGTCATGTATGTGGTAGGACTTTGTTAATTATATGGAACTATACTAATCATCATCATCATCATCATCATTGCTTCAGTCTTCTTCTTTATGGACATATCTATACTGAAATTAACTGTACTGTTTATCCAGAGGCCTAAAATCACAGTGTGGTGATAGCAGGGGGGTGGGGGTGGGGGGTAGAGGTGGAAGAGGGCATAGAGGGGATAAATGGGAAAAAATTAAATTAGTTAAATAAATTCAGGGTCAAAACCTTTTTTTAATTATTTGTTTAGAGGGAAATACTCCATATTACTGTTGCATGTATATGCATAATAACCTGTATTTAATTTGCCAAAGCTTAAAGAACTTAACCATACATTTTATATATTCTAAAATAGCTTATTTTTTTAAGAACACTTGTTAAAGAAAAAAAACTGCATCCTGTCAAAATTTTACAGAAACACAAGTGTACATGATATCCAGTCAAGAACTTGACTTCCCAAGGATCTTTCTGGAAGAGTTGTTATACAAAATAAGAAACATCAGTTACACAGATTGGTTATCGTAACCTAATTGGCAATAAGTCTTTGAGTTCAGATATTAATATAGCTTAAGTTCAGATTAGCACTAACTCACATACACTTTATGTTCAGCCCTCTGGTTTCTTGTTTGGAAATTATTATTAAGTGCAATTAAAATACGGATTTTAACAACCTATTGTTATTGCTTGCAAAGAATTTTCTCATTCAAAATTTTCATGTGCTACATTTTAAAGTGGGACTTTGTGTCTTTGTATAATTTTCTCTTAATAACTTTCAATATATATCTCTTCATTGACCATTTATTAAATATATTCAATAAGAAAATTAAAAATTTTAAATAAAGTAACTAATGCTAATATTTATCAAGTGCTTACTATCTGACTGACACTGGTCTCAGTAAGTATTTTAATTCAGTTAATTCTCACAACCACCTATGAGGTAGATACTATTAGCTTCCTTCTATAGACAACAGACACAGAAATTAAGTAACTTCACCACAGTTGCATAGCTTTGTTAGGTGTGCTGCTGGAATTCAAACCCAAGCAGTCTGGCTCTACACCAGGGCTTATCAACCTCAGAGCTACTGACATTTTGGGCTGGATAATTCTTTGTTCTAGGGGAACCTTCCTGTGCATTGTAGGATGTTTAGCAACATCCCTGGTCTCTATCTACTAAATTTTAAAGAGGCTAACTTGGATTTGCACGTTGGAATTAGTTTCTAGTTATGGGACATACCTCTCATCCCCTACCACTGACTTTGGTCATAAACAAGTAAGTAATAAGTCATGTAATTATATATCTACATTGTCTTGCCTGAACTTCTTACTGTCTGGAAGAAATCTTAGACTTGGAAATGGTAGGAAACTCATTTTCTTAATCTGGAATTATGACAATTACAGCAGTGTGTTTCTTATATTGTTATTTCTGTCCTTATTATCTAGGAAAGAGTAGTACAGGTAGACTAGAGAGTGTATAATTATGTATGTATACATGTATATGCATATATATCCCCAGTGTTTACATATTGGCAATCATCTCCATTTATAAAGAGCACCTTATATAACTGAAGTATATAATTTCTAAAAGTGTGATTTAAAAAGTAGCAATTATATGTTCATTGATACTTCTATCATAAAGTTTATTAATCTATATCTTGAGATATTTGTTGACATGGATAAATGATAAACTATTCTCATACCTATTTCTTTCCTCTGAAGAATGATTTTTTAAATATATATTTTAAAATGTGTAAACATATTCCCCAAGGAGAGTTAGATAAACCATTAGATAAAAAACAAAAGTGTCAACACAACCATAATACAGTGATTATTCTTCATAGGTATGAACCAATTTATCTTAGTATTCATGACTTATCTACTTTCTGAAAGATTTAGGGCAGTTCACAAGATTATTTTATATGTCATATCTAAAATAAAATTACTCAAAGCAAAAGTTAATTAAAAGTTTCAAAGTAGCCTGGCCGGTGTGGCTCAGCGGTTGAACATCGACCTAGGATCCAGGAGATGACAGTTCAATTCCCGGTCAGGGCACATGCCCAGGTTGCGAGCTCGATCCCCAGAGGGGGGCGTGCAGGAGGCAGCCGATCAATGACTCTCATCATTGATGTTTCTCTCTCTCTCCCTCTCCCTTCCTCTCTCTGAAATCAATAAAGATATATTTAAAAAAGAAGCTTCAAAATAAGAGATGTTCAATATCTGGGCTGTTTTATACAAATTAAAACTGAGTTTAGCCCTAGCCAGTTTGGCTCAGTGGTTAGAGCGTTGCCGGGTGGACTGAAGGGTTGTGGGTTCAGTTCCAGTCAAGGGCACATACCTCAACTGCAAGCTTGATCCCCAGCCCCGGTTGAGGTGTGTGCGAAAAGCAACCAATTGCTGTGTCTCTCTCACACTGATGTTTCTCTCTCTGTGTCTCTTCCACTCTATAAAATCAATGGAAAAAAATATCCTCAGGTGAGGATTAACAGAAACAAAAAAAAACTGAGTTTAGTTCTGAATTTGGAGAGGCTAAAGCAAAAAAGGGAAATGGGTTTACTTTAGGAGGCATAATGTTAGAAAGAATGCAGGGTTTATAGGCAAACCATCTCAGGTGCAGTTCTGTGCCACTTCCTCATTGCCACACATTTCTTTATACCTGTTTCCTTATCTGTAAAGTGGGAATAATTATATTTAATTACATTACAGGATTATGTCAAATTAGGTAATGTAAAAGCATTTTGTAAATTCCAAAACACTGTTCATTATTATTGTTCTTACTGACTTAATTTTTAAAAACATGCAAATAGTAAATTCATCTAAATAGAAACATTTCTTGCACTCATTCACACTCAAGAATGCTTGTGTTAGAAAACTGAAAAACAAACTAAACATGTCTTCAAGTAGGGTTTTGAAAAAGACAGAAATTCTATTCACATATATATTTTTATTATAAATCTTCTATAAAAGCTAAGGGAATTAAACTGAATCTTGATTCAGTGAAAGCATTTCTGTGGGAAGGTAAAATGACATGTTCTAAGTACATTCCGTTCTGATGGTTCACTTAACACAGAGAAAGTTGGAAAGTTACAGATTGTTACTTTGTTATCAACCTGTCTCCTATAAGCACTGGAAGTCTCAAGCTAACCTTTGGCAAGTGCTAGATGGTAGTCAGTTTGACATTTCATTTTCTAGAAAGAACATCAAATACCAAAACTGGAATATTGATTAAAAAGAAATCCCTATATGATCCCAAAAATGCAAGGCACAGGGTTAATATTCATTGGTGAAACTTGAAAACTAGACAGCTTTCTCAGGAAAGCATCTCCCATCACATTGGCGGGCTACTAGTGTGCCTATAAACAAGAGCTTTAAATGATAGGAATAGGCAATCATAGGAGTTTATCATAATGCAGGCTGTGGAACACATGTTATCTGTTAGTACATGAAAAATCTGTAGTGGAAAAAGCACTTCACAGGGAACAAAGAAATGCTAATCCCAGCTCTGCCACTAAATGAGTGACTGGACAAAACACGTAACCCATACACATCTCATTTACAAAGTGAAAGAATTTCAGATTAAGAAACTTTTATGATTTCTTCTACCTCTGAAGTAGTATACTTCTGAAATTTAATTATTGTTGAAATATATCAAGAACTTCAGATGGGGAAACGTAAAATAATGACATGATCATTTAGTATCCATTTAATTGAATTTACTGGGATAACATTGGTCAACAAAATTACATAGGTTTCAGATATACTATTCTACAATACATCATCTGCATATTGCATTGCATGTTCACCACCAAGTATCCTTCCATCACCATTTGTACCCCACATTTACCCTCTTCTACCTCCCCCAGCCCCCTTTCCCTCTGGTAATCATCATACTGTTGTCTGGGTCTGTTGAGATTTGTTTTGCTAAATCCCTTTACCTTTTTTACACACACCCCAACCTCCCTCCCCTCTGACAGTTGTCAGTCTGTTCCCTGTATATATGAATCTGTTTCTGTTTTGTTCGTTAGTTTATTTTGTTCATTAGATTCCACATATGAGTGAAATCATATGGTTCTTGTCTTTTTTCTGGCTGGCTTATTTCACTTAGCATAATACTCCAGGTCCATCCATGCTGTTGCAAAAGGTAAGATTTCCTTCTTTTTTACAGCTGAGTAGTATTCTGTTGTGTA